GAGGTAGGAACTACTCCTGATGATGTTCCAAATGTTTTATTTGAAGGAAGTTATGAAGGCCTTAACAATGACTAAATAACAGGGTAGTCTTCTTGTCCTAGTATGGGACACTATAGATGGTTTAGAGGACCTATCAACTATCTTTGAAGAGAGCAAAGATCAGAATATGTAGTAAATATAAATCACCGCATCTTGGACTTCTTCAACCTATAAAGACTGCTCTTCATGGAACTCATCCCTAGAAGAGGGGGTAATGTCACGGACATATATATTTACCTCAATAGTTACTTATATGATTAAGTAAAAGTAGGTAAAACAGAATAATTTCATAAAGTCTTCTAACAAAGCTTCTTAGAAGCTGCATAGATACGATTTTGACTTTAGATATGTTTGTAGGTTAGAAACTTGGCCAAAAAGCTAACCATGTATTGGTAGCTTGTAGAACAAGCCAACTACGTGGCGCATATATAGATGACTTGCCTTGCAAGATAAGACATGTGGCCAGGAAAGTCAATGCATGTTAGAGGTCTTATAGGACATCGCTATAAGGCTCTTAGTTAGATAGTATATATAGAGGCAAGAGTGAAGCCTTCTTCATTCTTGACAATGCCTTTCTAGTCTTGGTCTTGTTTCAAGACTTTCTAATCTTCTTGTTTTGGCAATAGCTATTCTAGTTAATATTATATCACCTTTTGAGTGACTTTCTTGTTTTCTTCAGTGATAGAAGAGTGTATTGAGGATTCCCTTTCTTCAAGTTTCATGTCCTTGATATCCAGTCCATGATTGTGTAAATTTTTTTAGGATCCATCATTAGACCATTGTTTGAAATGATGTATCTAAAGAAGTCAACTTGAGTAGTGTGGAATACACACTTTTCTTTCTTTGCATACAATCTTGCATCTTTAAGTTTTTATAACACATTAAAAACATGAACTTTAGATTTTTTTGCATTCATAGAGTAGATTAAAATATTATCTAAATAAAAAATGACAAAATCATTTAAAAACTCATAAAAAATATCATTCATAAGATGTTGAAAAGCAACTAGTGCATTAGCGACTCCAAAAGGTATGACATTATATTCAAAGTATCTATACTTTATTCAAAATGTAATCTTCCATTCATCTCCTTCTTTAATGCAGACTAGATTATATGCTCCTTGTAGATCTATTTTTGTATAGATCTTAGCTTGGTTTAATTGATCAAGAAATCTACATATCAAAGGTAGAGGATATCTATTCTTGATGGTAATCTTATTGAATCCTCCATAATCCACACACATTTGTGATGATCCATCTTTTTTCTTTATAAATAATATAGGACTCCATGCAAGAGATTTTGAATAGAGTATGAAATTTTTAGCTAAGTTCTCATCAATGCACTTCTTGAACTTAGCCAATTTATTTTGTGATAAACTATAGATTGGACCAAATAGTGGCTAAGTTCTTTCTTTAAGATTGATTAAGCAATCATATAGACAATACTCAGGGAGAATATCTATATTCTTCTTTTCAAAAATATCTTCACTCGAAATCTTTCCATTATTTAAAATGGATGTGGTGTAAATAAAAAAAGACGATTCTTTTTTGTAGCATGCAAAAAAGATTTTGTACCTATAAGTACAAGTTTGGATATATTAGACTCATGGCTTTTTACTCAATTAGAAAAATTCTTAATGATATTTGAAGAAAAATCAAGTTTACGAGAAATCCAATCTATTATAGGATTATATTTTTTTAGGCACAATAAACATAAAATGACTAGAATAGAGAGAGATCTAATTATATTAAAAATTACACAATTATTATGATCATTTATTACTTCATCTATATGAAGTGTTTCATGAATAACATCTCCAAAAGATAACAGATGACCATCTATGACTTCTATGTATATGGATTTAGTTTTTTGTACTAACTATATATTATGACTCTTAATAAATTCTTCATTTTAAAAAACAAGTTGAAACTCTTGAATCTATTAAGGCAAAGACTTTGTAATTATTAGATCTTAAACACACATCTATTATAAAATAAGAAGAAGATTTTGAGGAGAAAGTAGGACCTTTATTAGGAATTGTACAAGATTTCAACTACGCAATTCTTATTGCAGTTGGACAAATTCATTTTTTGACATGTTTTCATCTTTGACAGCAGTACTCCTCATTTTGTAGTTGCATCATTTCTTTGGATAATATTGAGTAGTGTCTTTAGCTTCTCAATAATATAAACATAGTCCTTCTTGACAACGACATGTTTTTTCTTGTTCAATAAGAGATTTAAAACATACTGCATGAATTTGCATGTCTTTTACTTCCAAATGTGTAGATTGAAAAGTCGTTGGTATCATCATTGAATTGTAATAATTTTGAGGTTTTCTTGTACAATTCTCAAATCAAAACTCAAAAAATTGATTATTATATTTCACAGCAAAGTCAATTGCTTAACTCAATATCTAAGGATGAAATAAATTGAGTATCAATTTCTTTACTTCATATTGTAATTTGTAGAAAAATTGGCTAATGAGTGTTGCATCATTCCACTTGATATCTATCATTAATTGTCAAAATTATGAAAGATATAATGTCACTGATCGATTGCCTTGGTACAAGATACAAATCTTGTTGGTTAAAACACAGAGGTTGAAATACAAAGTACATCATGTTTTCCATACATAGATTGAAACTTTCTTAAGAATGCTTCCAAATTATCCAATATTAAATCACGTCATTTAAGAAATGATGAAAACCATAGTAAGGCAAAATCTGAAAGTAGTGTTCCAATAAACCTGACTTGTGATCCTTAAGTTGGATAACTTTGAGGTTGTAATTCAATCACCAATTGTTCTTCATTGATGAATCTTCAAAATTTAGATCTTGTACCATAAAACTTCTCAAGTAATCTAATTTTTGATTCCTTAAAATTTGAATAATGTTCCATTGTATGAATAGTAGTATGGCTTGGTGTAGATGTTGAAGCAACTCCAATCATCTTTATATCTTCATTGCTTGATAATCTTCTTGTTCTTTATGATGGTAGACTGAATTGATGTATTGCAAATATTAATTCTCTCATTTTCTCCTAGATTTGAGTCATTGCACTCTTCATTTTAGCAAGTTTTGTCATGCTAACATAATAAAAAGAAATGTGTCTATCCTCACAGAATACAATATTCAAGAATTAAGGAAAAAAAAATTCTAAAAACAATATCAGTTTAAAAGAGAATAAACTGCAACTTCTAATATGCTTATATCTTATCAAGAGAAAGAGATAATCTACTCTTAATCAAGAAAGGACAAAGCTCTCATATTATATGTATACTCTTGTCAATCTGTCTATGATACAAATTGAAAGAAGATACATAAATTTGTGGAATTTGTGTGAAAAAGAAAGTGACAAAATAGAAGAAAGTATGTATATTCAAGGAAGAATTGGAATGGCTATTGCCAAAGACTAAAAAACATAAGACTCTTGAAACTAAACTAAAAGCAAGAAAGGGATTGACAAGAGTGAAGAAGATCTCACTCTTGCCTCTATATATACTACTTAACTAAGAGCTATGTACTGACATGCTATAGGACCTCTAATACGCATCTAATTTGCAAGATATATGTCTAATTTGCAAGGCAAGTTTCCTAGGTGTACGCCATATGTCCAACTTGTACTGCAAGTGGTCAATATATCAACATGTGGCCTCCTTGTTGGCCAAGTTTTTAATCTATGAATTACTTATAGACATGTATAAAAGCAAAGCAGCATCTATAAAGCTTTTAGGAAGCTTCCCACAAGATATTATCATATTTATCCACTTTGACTTACTTCTACCTATTCTTATTATTTAGATAATTATCAAGGTAAATATGTATGTCTGTAACAACTATAAACATTTCAAAAAAATATTCTAAAGAAAAAACTTATATACAAATTTCATTGATATTCATTGTATAACTATTCAAATAAACACATAGAATATATAAGAAAATTACTTCAATTTAGTTATGATCTCAAAGCATAAATGAGTTGAAAATGGTTTGAATCACAGTAATATAAGGCAATTACAATTAACTTTTTATTTTATTTTTATAAGATATTTAAGAATCTATATTTATAAATTTGTATTTAATATATATATTATATATTTAGAATATTTTATAATATCAACAAAATATTTGAATATTAAAATATTGATCTATGGTAGATTAATGATAAAGCAAGTTTTATCATGTGCACAAGAATTGTTTTTTAAGAGGTGGTTGAAGCGGTTTGTTACTTCATTACATTGCCTATAATATAATTTATCAAAATCTAGATAAAAAACTACCAAATATTACTGGACCATCATTTAAGATCAAATATATTCAAAATTCTATATAAATTGTGTAAATTGCACTTTTTCCATCTTAAAATATTATCTTATATTTTTATAAGACATATTTTATTTTTTTCTATCCATGATAAATATATTGAATATATTCAAAATGTATTAAAAAGTATTGAATGTATTTTTTTTCTACTTTTACAAAATAATTGATCAAAATATCATTAAAAATAAAATAATATTTAATCTAAAAAGTTATCAAAAACTTTTTCATTCAATACCAAAATAAAATAAAATAAAATAGAACCTTTGTAAAACCAAATGATGTGACATTATACTCAAAATACTAATAATAGCTTAAAATATAATCTCATATTCAACTCTTTTATTTTCATATGGATTTTATATTTTTATATATATATATATATTTATATTAAAAAAATAATTCTTAAAAACTGGGTTTTTGCGACAATTCAGAGGTTTAAGAAGTGGTTAAGCATAAAAGGAGTTTTACTGAAAATGGACTGAGGCAATATCCAGAGTTAGGAATCTCATCCAAAGTTATCCCCGCGACTTTCATCCTCACGACGCCCACGGCGTTCATCCCTGATACTTCATCACCGCATTACACATCCGTCCACATGTTTTCATCAACCCATCAAATCTGACATTCATCCATTCATTCCGAGAGTCCAAGCTTTGAGAAGCAGTGAGGGACGAAGGCAACACAAGCTTTAGAGCTGCGGAGACAGCAGCGATGGCGGCCACGGCACGCGCCCTTTGGGCTTCGGCTCGCTCTGAAGCTGCTGTAAGATTGCACTCGTCTCCTCGCTCTGCTCCTCTGCCTACCCAATTTTTTTCTCTTACTTTTTTTTGGTTTTTTCAAGCAACAACCAGCCATGCTTCAGAGGGTTTAGGGTTTAGGGGGCGATCCGTTGCCTCGACTTTTTGTGTGTCGATTTATACTAGGTTTTGTGTTCTGTGCGGGTTTCGATCTCATCCGGGGTGAGATGCACGTTTTCCGTGGCTGATGCAGCGGAGATGCGTCGACCAAGCAAGTCTTCTCCGATCGTGGCTCTCCGGACAGCGGGCTGGACATGCTACTGTCGCTGTTAAGAAAGTGTTTCCCTCTAATCAAGGTGTGTGTTCAGATTCCGTAAATTTTCGAGTGAATGGAACGATTAATTCACCTGGAATCGTCTACGTCCTTGTAAAGACGATATGTGTGTAGTCAAATGGTGAACTGATTTCTTTTGGTTTCCAAGTTTTGGGTTTCTTGGCACTAAGGCAGCCTTTCTGGGTAACTAGAGATTCTCAAGAGGTGTGTTTTCAAGGCATAAATGTGTGCAAGCGGCAGCTTTCCACAAGCAGTTTAGTATGAAGAAATATTAGTAATTCATAAGCTTGTGTTAGTCTTCAAGACTTTTTCCGTCGTTTATTCTCCTAACATGGCCAAGATCTGCATGAAACGCTGTTTTTGTCGTGCTTGAAGTCACCGGTGATAACATACACAAAAATACAAACATATATATATATATATACACACACGCTCTTATAACAGCAGAGCTCCCTAAGCAACATTGCATTCTATCCTTACCATTTAGAGGAGAATATCCATCTGGAGAGTTGTTCTAAATTAGGGTTGTGTTGTTAGTACACATAACAATCCTTCGAGTGTTATCTTTGTTGATTTTGATAGTGCATGCTTCCTGAAGGGTGAGAGATCTTTGTGCAGGCCAATTGAAGGACGTTGAAGTCAAGGTGACAAATTTTCAGAGCGAGGACAAAGGTCTTGCAACGTTAGCCGGTGATGTGTTTGACGTGCCAATAAGGCCGGATGTTGTTCACCGCGTCGTTCGATGGCAACTTGCCAAGAGACGCCAGGTTAGAATACAGAAGTATAGGAAGTTTCATGAATTTCATGGTTTGGTTCTGAAGATAATACTACTCATACCTTGACTAGTTCTGCAGTAGAATACTTTTGGTTCTTTGTTAGCTGTGTAGTCCTTGTGCGTTGCTTACCAAGCAGTCTCTGGGAAGCAAGTGTCTGGTTATTTACATTGTATTCATATTTTCCAACATTAATATGTAGACCACATCTGCTGTATCAATCGTCGTCACAGTCGAACACAGTGCGTCTTCAGCGTCTGAAGTCGAACATCATTTTCATTTGGAAGTGGCGACGTTTTTTTTTATACACTCGTGTCGGTTGCTTGATCTATAAATTTCTTGAAATTGCATTGACAGGGCACTGCTTCAACCAAAGGTATTCACGAAGTGAGTGGTACAGGGAGAAAACCTGGTCCCCAAAAGGGAAGCGGTAGAGCTCGACATGGTTCTCTGCGAGGTCCACAGGTCTATTCATCAATCATATAACTAAAAGAAGCGTTTATTTAGTAAATAAACATGCCTGTATGTTTTGCTTTTCAATCGCTTCTCCTAACATTCACGTCGACCTTTTATCGGATTCAGTGTTTGATCCGTGGAATTGATTTTGCTTTCACGTGCTAGTAATCTCTGCCTGTGTACAGCGTCTATTGACTATAGTGTGTTTTATGTTTTCCAGTTCCGAGGAGGAGCTACGCAGCATGGCCCAAAGCCTCGGAGCCATGAGATAGGTTTGCAGAAGCAAGTGCGTCGACTTGGCCTCAAAGTTGCCCTTTCATCTCGTGTTGCTGAGGGCAAGGTACAGTCACATGTTTTATGTCCACGAAATAAAATATTATAGGGCAAAGGTTAATGCTACAGTATCTCAAGTAATTCGGCATTACATGTTTTCTTTTTCTAGTCTATTATATTCTTGCTCTCATTCTAACCTTTCGATAATGATTATTGTTACCGCACAACTGTTTTTACGTGTTATTGTACCAATGCTGACATGAATCGTTTCTCTTAGTTCTTTCTTTTTTACTTAACAATCATTGTTTGTTTTTCACCTCGTACAGCTGAAGGTGTTTGATAGCGTAGAACCTCCCACACTAAAAACTCGAGAAATGGAGCGCCTAATTGCTGATATCGAAGGTTGTAAGAAGGTGCTCATTGTTGATGATGCTGAGACCGTCAACGAATCGTTGTGTCGGGCGACAGGCAACTTGCATTATGTCAATGTATTACCTGCCAAGGTAAAGTTGCAATGTCGGCAATTTTAAGTGTCGCAGATGTGTCTTTCCAATCTTAAATCACGACATTTCAGATATGAGTTTTCTGCTATATCTGTTAACTAGCGCGCAGTCGTTTTGATTTAGCGATCAAGCTTTACTTTGTGATGGTAAGTGCCAACCGAAGTTTGTGCTGTATCTGCCTGGTTGTTTTACCTTACCTAACATGACATCGTGATTGCTTTTGTGGTTTCTCTTTCTGATCCTGTTTATGGTTCTTGCTCATTGTACAGGGGTTGAATGTCTACAGCATCTTGCAGCACGATACTCTGGTGATGAGCGTTGGAGCAATCCGAAGAATTGAAGAGCGCCTTCATACACCCATTAACAGATGATCAACCCACCTAGCTTCGATCTTTTTAGCTGTTCGTTCTTGAACCCGTGGTTGAAATGTAGTCGAACGCTGGCGTCATGGCATGAAAGCATGTTACGGCGAACTTGCTATTGAAGCAGAAATAGGAGGCATCTTTACATACTTCATCATGGTTATCTGATCTTGGACCTTTCGAGGGATGTGCTTCATTATGAGTGGACAACTGTGCGCATGGAATCAATGGCTGGAAACTAATTTGTCTCAGTTCCTCTATTAACGCTCTAAGATGGATTCAGCCTTTCCCTCAATCTGCTTTAGTTCTATTGTTGTTACCACATGCTGAGAAGTGGCTGTCGAGTTAGCTCCAACCTGGTGTTATAGTTGCGTGGTATAAAGCCGCTTCATTCTGTAGCTTCGATGTATTCACTTGGCGCTAGGGGCATTGGGTTTAGATTTAGATATAGCATGAGGGGATTGGATAGCAAACTATCCTTTTATGTAATGCATTCCAATCAAGTCTGGAAACACAATTCAATAAAGTGCTCATTACATTTCAGGGAATTGTTGTCGAAGTCCATAGCAATGTGAGGTTTGAAATTGATATCTTGCACCAGATCTTTAGTGTGTTAGTCACGTGAGGAAAAACAATTTTCTCGTAGGCTTCAGAATCCAAACCTATTTGTCAACATAAGAAAGTTTTTAGTGGAAACAAAAAGAGAAACATTCCTGCTCCTTAGGCAGGCGCCTTATCCATTGGGCCACACCGTCCTTTAGAAGACGAATTGTGAGCCAGTTGCTGATCTCGTGTGACACTGGGATTATTTTTGTATAGAATATGGTTAACTGCTGCAATTTGCGTCACACATGGTGATTGGTTGATTGGTTGATTGGTAGGCCCTTTTAATATAGCACTAGAGGACAATGTAGAACAGTTTTGTTCCCAAAGTTAAAAAAGAACTCGGGTTGTTTGAAATCTGCTGAACTGCTGAAATATTCAGAGGAAAAATAATTATGTTCCCTTTCATTTGAGTCTTTAAAATGCACATGAATCGGGCCCTTCTAATAGAGGTGATTTGATTGGGTTGATTCGGGAAAGCGTTATAAAGCATTTTTTTTTATCATGGCATGTCACTAAGGAATACACACAGAAGTGTTAGCTCTGGTACCCTCCTTGACAGTCGTAGAAAACGCCAAATTTTCATGCTAGTTTGGGACCCATTTCGCACGTTCAGCATCTTTTTGAGGTTAGTCAAAGATACGCGGTGCTTATTTCTTCATCTAGGGTGCGGGTCGGAGTGTTTTCAGCCATGTTTTCCCTTTCCATCTGCTTTCTTCTTTCTCTCGCTTGCAGGGTCAGGGTTGCCCTGCTTCTCTTCGCTCAGCACCTCAACTTCGCTTTCATGGGAAGAGTGTGGTCCTTAGATGACACACACATGGTTGCATCTTTCAATTTACGGCTGATCAGAATCTTGAGAGAAAGTAGAATCTCATATCATGGGGAGTTTGTTATTCTTTCACAACTTTTTTATGTTACCACCCGCTCCCTCTGTACGTGAACACAATGATTTATACTGAATCTCCAGGCATGCTCTCCTCAACATTGATATGTTTTCCATCGGAAAACTGCAAAAAGTCCCATCGATTGGTAACTATGACTTGAATATTGCAGATCACACGCTGGGCGATGGAGCATCATCGTTAGTACCCCATTAATTAAAGCTATCCGACCAGCTACCATATACCAACTGTTTTCAGCCAAAAGGTGTACAGAGAAGAAAACAAAAACCCTGATATCCACAATCCTTTGAAAAACATTTTGCAAGATTGACAGCTAATAAGCAACAAGATAAACCATAGTTTGAAAATATAATCTCTTGGCACAACATTTTTACTTATTTATGATTTGTAGGTGAATGAATTTGAGATGTATCAAATAATCATCAACATGAAGTAACAAGATGTTTTCATTGTCAACCTTATGATCTAAAATATAATTTACCTTGTGAATAAGTTTTTCTTTTTTTTTTTTGCGAAGTTTTTGTACTGCAAAGTGATTTTACTCTCTACAGTATTCTAGGCCTTATTAACAAATGGATACCAATTGTTGTCGACTCAAACACAATGGAGACAATCGGAACTTTATAAGGTTTGTCTGCATTTGTGCAAGAGTATTTGCGATTGAGTAACTGACTTCCACAGGACGCTCCAACTGCTAAGGTCCTTAGTCATTAAGTTAACACCTTCATCCCTGATTTTTACAGGATCGCCCAGAAACAGAAGATAACTTCACTACACGAGCCTTGACTTTCTGCATGTTATCCTCTATATCGATATCGCTTTCACCGTTTTTCTTTGAAGAATCTTCTGATGCAAACCTGGGCTCTATTTCATCACTACTCAAAAGCTGAAGCCTTAAGATACTCTTGCCCGAGTCACCGCTAATGCAACTATTCATTGCAATCCAGTCACACCTCCTTACATAGAATTGGAACCGCCTCTTGCAATTCTCCACTCCAGCAACCTTCATGTATTCAAGAGCATCCATTCCTCTTTTCGAGCTTATGCGTACAACTAAAACTATACATTCTTTTACATATAATAAATTCGATGGAAACAGAGCACAGGGCCTGTGTAACAGCACCTTGACATACTATACTTTCCGGGTTGGGGGGGCTATGGACTTGGGACACTGAATCTGAACACCTCCGTTTGATTTAGTCAATGACAAATGGAGAGCTTGCAAACCCTCCCATTACAACAAGCTCCTTGACCGTGCCCACTTCATCCAATTACCGAGGATCTCACGTTCAAATCCGCATGTAACACGGGATCAAATATCGACTGTATCTGGTTGCCAATCCAGTCGAAGAGTTTAGATCGATAATTCCCCCTTTCGTTACGGGATAGCCAAAGTTAGACTCGGCACTTTTCCACGGTTTCATCAAAGCAACCAGTACGTTGGGATGCCTTTCAAGACACTCCCACAAGCATGGTCTACAGATTCTGTGAATCTACGTATGTTTCGCCACACAAGCCAGCAGAGAATGATGCCACTTCTTTCACTCTGCACATTATACCCACAGAAACGACCTCCTACTAAACAATGTATACGGCACCATCACTGATGTCCGCTGCTAGTACCATATCCCCAACCTGAGCAACCTCCTGAATCATAACTTTGTGACAATGGAAAAAGGCGACCTCCAGTTCTACGATCATATAACAAGCGGGTGGCGGCTCCCTTCCACCCCATTCACCAAACCCGCAATTGTCATGCAAATTTTCGTCACAACCTTCGTGACATGGTCCCAAATGAACAGAACTGTTGTGCATAATTGGATCGCCTCATTGGTCAATCCAGTTCTGCAATGATACTTGAAAGGCCTCAGGATGAGACCTCCAATCTCATGCACGTAATCTGTAACAAGTGCATCCATCTGATGTCATGGCGGAAGCTTTGGTGTGGTTGATGGTGATGATGACGCCGGTACCATGTGAAGCTTGGACTTAACAAGGTATCGCTCGATTTTAAGTTGTAATGAATTCCTCTTTGAATTACTAGACCGGTGCCTGCACACTGCGAGCATATCTTCCTCGTACTCTGCAAGGACAGGGTAGCCTCATGACATGAATTGCCCACAAGTTCCCAGCTCCAGATCGTCTTCTGTAGTCGCATGCCGTTACGAATTTTGCAATAAGACTTCTCTCCTCCAGCCTTTAAAATATCCGAAGTAGGCGTAAATCTTTCCTGGGTCCATGGTGTGCGCAAACACAAACCCAGAAAATCGCATTGCCAAAATCAAGACCCACTACCACCTCAGGTCCCGAAGCATTCGTTGAACCCTAAGCCATCCCTCACAACCTCGGTACCTTCAACTCCTCCCACTGAACATTTATTCAAGTGAGCACCACTCACACTGAAAATAGACGTCACTCGTCGCAGCTTTTAAAGAAAAGAAATGAATGTAACGTCATTCACCTTGTTCGCTTCAAATCAGGAAGAGAAATGCTGTGTAATGACGGATCTCCCACATTAGCCACTGCCTGGGCACAGATAAAGCATAAAGCTTCATTACTTAATTAAGATCGCTCCCACTAACTGGCCACACCAGCACACCACTGACCACACCCACAACTGAGCACATTCAATAAACCCAGTCATGGATCCAACTACAGAAGCTAAAATAAAAAAATCCAATCCTATGGAACATCAATGACAACAGAAGCGGCCATTACACCCCTCGCGTTTCAAAAAATGAGCGGGTCCACCACCCAGCATCTCACTAAACCCATCATCTACTTGCAAAACACCACCATTCTACTATCGAATTAAAACAAATAACACACGCGAAAGCTGTTAAACAATCGAACCCATAAAATCAGCGAGATGCTCCATGATTTCATCGGTTTTCTGCCCCAGATTGTGACCAACGAAGGGGGCTTCTACCGATCTCATCGTCCACTCACCTCGAGAAAAACCACATCAAATCCCTGCATGAGAAATTTTCTTCACACCCACGTCGCAATTTCTTGTCAACCTCTGATCTCTTTATAAAGTACAAGAAAAACAAGAAATAGTGTCGCAAGAGTCTCGATTTCTGTGCACGCTTCTGTGCAAATCACGAAACATCTCGTCTACAACAACACGCCGACCATGTGCTATCGATATCTCAACGCACTTTTACTTTTTACCCGTTTGAGAAAGTAAAAGT